CTTCAAAGTGTAATCAAGAGGCTGTGTGCTTCTAACATCATAGCATAAAACAGATTGGAGTATTCACTTCAGCTGCTAGACTGGATGCATTTGTATTTAGGACACATCTTTAAACTACTCCACTTTGTTTATAGTGACAACCAACAGAAATTACTAAAATTCTCAAAGGTCAGTAACAGAATTTTAAAAGTAGAGTAAAGTCCCTGACTTACAAATGAGTTCTATTCAGGGAGAATGTTCCTAAGTAGAATTTGTTCCTAAGTCTGACAAAGTGAGTCTTATACACCTTTGACACAACTGTACAACTTATATTGCTTTGTGCTTCCTAGCAGTCCCTTCCACATCACCACTGCCTTTCCCTTGCTTCCGGACTCCTGGGCTCTGACTGCACACAGTCCCACTGTACCCTATCACACTGTATGGTGAGCACACAGAGACACAACTGTGACTGTGTCCAGCAGACATGTGAGCTACTTCGGTGACTTGTTCACACCTACAAATGTCTGCAGATGAGGTCCATTTGTATCCGCGAAAGTTCACAGCTTGAATGTAAACTGGAGACTTACTGTGTACAAATAGACCATTCACAAATGCTGCTACAATGGCCCCAAATGGAGCCTGACCAATGCAGCGTGTTCATTCAGCCTTCTGGTCTTTGCCTGTGCTTTCCTTTCCTGGAATTTTCTTCCTCCTCCAGCTGAATTTGTCCTCTGGGAAATTCCAACTTGCCTCACTAGGAAACCTCTCTGAAATTATTTTCTCTCACACTAGAAACAATTTTATTATTGCTTTGTAACTCTAGTACTTGGAACAATAACTTTGGAATGTAGTCAAAATAAACAGACTTTGAAAGGTACCCAAAACATAGGACATGCCCAACAAATAGTTGTTGAATGGATACCAACTATAGGATATGACTGTAAAATCCCCCTTGTCTGCACTTTTGTACTTCTCTAGGATAGACGTACAAATTAGCAGAGAATTGGGAAAGAGAGACAAGAAGAGCCCTGGACAATACAGGTGACTGACTCCTGGAGATAAATGTATTCTCTGTAGACTAGGGATGCTACCTCTTCCTGAAATCAGACAGGACCAGTCCAGCCTTTTGCAGACCCTAAGCCACCTACACATACTAGAAAGGCAGCCTATTTCCATGTTTTTTACCTACATTTCCAAAGTATATTAAATCTAAGGTGTCTCAGGCTGTAGCAAATTTTTAAATCTGTAGCATCTGTGATAAAAATGAATGTAAGAGCGGAATACATACTGCGAGATATCCCATTCCTACTGTTAATACGTGGTGGCTGTTTGCTCCCATATCCTGGTGACAGCAACAGCAAAGTCACAAACAACAGGATGGCTAGAGGGAGTAGAGCGCATTTGAATGAAGGGGAAACATCAAAGAGAGACTATTTCTTACGTTTGGCCACAACAAGTCTTCACAGTTCACAAACTGAAGGAAAAATAATAACGAATGATCCATTTTCCAACAAAAAAATCATAGTAAATCAGGGGTAGTTTCTGCCTTACACCAATTGCATCTGCATCTGACATCCTGTGCCTCTTTAAAGAACTGCTTTCTGCTTTCTAGAAGTAGCTGAAGAGTGCAGATATTCTTATTCCTTCTTGGGATGCAGTTGCTGTGCTATCCTCTGCTTAAATACCAGCCAGTAACTCCAGGGATAGTGGAATATTCCCTCAGTTGTAGGACACTCAGAATATAATTTATAGCAGACCTATGACTGCAATCAGGTCAGTTTGAAAATAATTCCTCCCTTCCAGATGCTATGGTTAAATAGCTACTGTTAAATGAGAATTCATGCAGCAGCTCTGGGACTCTCAAATAACTTCATGGAAATAGGTTCTGTAACCAGCTCATTTTCCAGTGTTAAATGCAGTTCGAAGTTCACACAAGGTCTAATCAGGATTAATATCTTCTCCCACAGTACACGGACTGACCTTCCACCTTTCACAGATGCTTACGTCAGAGTCGTGCCCAGCTGCACCATGCCCTCTACCACTTATCAGAATTTTTATAAATGAGCACAGCATTTGTTGAAGGTGGGAAGTGTACTGAGTTCAGGTGCTTTGGTGGCATGACTCAGACTACAGATGAAATCCAGCTTACTCCTTGGTAAAATAAACTTTCCTTTCCTTTATTTTTTTCCCTTCTGAAAAAAATCTTTTTAATAATATTGAATATGATTTCACACATTTTTCTTCTAACCTTGATATTTCATTGATATGAAAGAGACTATGGGATGTATTGAGGTCTACTGTATCACATTAAAGTGATGGCTTCTACGCATAAAGCATCAAAGTTGTAAGTAAACTCCAGTGATGAGCTTGATTAATTCAAGCCCCTTCATCTTTCTGTTTTTCAAAGATAGATGATCCAATTTTGTTTCAAAGAGTATTTCTATTTCTTTATCATCAAGATTTCCAATGTCCTTGGATGCCAACTTCCTTCTTCCATGATCATAAGAAGAAAAAAACTCTGGGAAAACCAATGAAACCAGCACCTCAACATAAAAACAACACTGCTATATTATGTTTGTTTTCTTTGGCCAGCTGGATAAACTAATAAAAGAGCACAGGTAAGCACTGACTAAAAACAGTGTAACTGAGTTTGTATCATTTGGTTCAGTTGAGTTCTGTCATGTTCAGTGAGAGCTGTTGTGTGACAGGCACCATGCTAGGCACTGAGGGCATCTGAAGATGCAGTACTAGCCTTCAGGCATCTTGTAATCTGCTCAGGAATCCTGAAATGTACATGCATAGCCATAATGCAAGGATGTATGGCCCAACTACTACAGGATGCAGATACACGAGCAGCCAAATCTAATTTGGGATAGCCAGAAAAGTTTCATTCTCCAAGGAAGGCAGCATTTTCTGGCCCAGGAACATTATTGTGTTTTTTATCTCTATCTCCCCTGTAAAATTGAGTTGCCAGGCACACTTACCAGGGCCCAAAAAGGGCCACATTCACCTAACTTATCTCATTGCTTTGGCCCATGTCCCCATGTGGGAACAGCCACTGCACTCTTCAACACATCCTCACCCTATAATTTCTGACACTCTCTGGAAAAGTTATGAAAGCTCTCTGAGCTTTGGTTTACTCATCCATAAAATAATTATAATTCTGTTTCAACACACTTGCTGCGAGGTTAAATGAAATAGTGTGAGTAAAATTTCTTTTTAAAACCTACCATTTTATACTTCCATATAAGTCCCATCCAAAGTAGTTGAATAAAGACCCATCTTGTGAGAGAAGAGAAATGACATACGCAGCAAGCCCGCCAGCCTCACTGTAAGTCTAAAAGTTAAGAATGATGAATGTGAAGAAGAGGACAGTAAATTTCTCTTCGAGTCTATGATCTGAGAGCTCAAAAATAAAAAGTATTTTCCCATAATTTTTATATTCTATTGCACAACAAAAAAAATTTAGACCTTTCCAACAAAGCAAAATACAAGGGGGATTTGCAGAATTATGACAATGTCAGTGCCATCTTAAAATCTTACAAAGGAGGATATCTGAGCCAGTCCAAGATTCTGCGGGACTTGTGTTCAGATATCTTTCTTCCCAAGCCATTCATTCATCCGAAAATTCAGGTATAAGCTGCCCAACTAGGTAGATCCAAGTTAAAAAACAAAACAAAACTCTACAACTCAAAGATAGGCATCAAGAAATTGCTTTCTATTATGTTTGTATCTGTATGTCTGCTCTTTACAGATAGCATGGTCTTGATGAGACTGGATAACAGATGCAGAATTTGCTACTACAAATAAATTGTATTAGATGATGAAGTTGTTCAGCAAACTGTTCCTCATACCACTGAAAGATTGTTTAAAAATGAATATAGTGCTCTGGGTTTATATACTACGTACTTTTGTAGGAAACAAATTTTACAATGCAATTAAACATGCCTTGTTTTTAATTGCATTATTTGAGTTCTGTACATTCACACACACTTCTGAGAAATAATACAGAGATCCCATGTTCCCTTGACCAAGCTTCCCCCAATGGTAACATCTTGTAAAACAATAGCACAATACCATAATGAAAACATTAGCACTGATAGAACGTCAATCTTACTTGGATTTCCCCAGTTCTACAGGTACTCATTTTTGTGTGAGAGGGAGATATGAGTTTAGTTCTACGTAATTTGATCATATGTTTATGCTCACATATCTACCACTACAGTCCAGATAGAGAACAGTTCCATCATCTCCAGGGTCCGACATATTTCCCTTTTGTAAACCACCCCCACCTACCTTCTCCCCTCAACCTTAAGATCTAGACAAATCTATTCTTCATTTCCATAGTTTTTTTCATTTTTAAAGAGGTTAGACAAATGTAACCATATGGCTATGCAACTATCTGGGAATGGCATTTTTCCTTCAGATTCATCCAAGTTATTTTACACATAAATAATGATCATTATTTTATTGCTGATAGTAACCCATACTACAGATGTACCACAATTTGACATTCAATGTTGGATGACATCTGGATTATATCCACTTCCCCTATTATTATTAAGATGTTGTGAATATTTGTATATAAGCTTTCCTGCACACATGTTTTCATTTATTTGAGACAAATGGTCAGTAGTGCGATTACTTGGTTGGACAGAAACTGTGTGCTGATTTTTATGAAACATCAAACTATTTTCTAAAATGACTACTGTTTTAGATTTCCATTATCAATATATGAATGATCTGGTTTTCCACCACTTTTAATATTACATTAGTCTATGTAGATGGTAAAATTAGTAAATAAATGGGCCGAGGATTTAGCTTAGTGATGCCACCTCCTACCTTGCAAGCACAAGGTCCCAAGTTTGATCCCCAGTACAAAAAAAAAAAAAGTAAATAAATAAATGGCTTATATAAGAGCAGCTTGTAAAATGCCAGTTCAGAAAGTCCAAAGGGTAAGTAGGCAGGAGGTTTATAAAAAAGCCACCCTAAGTACCAACCTGTCTCTAGCTTGTTTTAGCTTACAAGGCTTCCAGGTATACAGCAAACGCTTTATACTCCTAGAAGATACCTGATACCCTTTTCATCTGGGCTGTTAGAAAAAATAAATCTTTTCTTTCCAAAGCAAGAACATGGGCTATAAAGTGCTTCAGATAATCCTGTGTTCATTGTTGCTTATAGGTAAGAGCCTATTTCTTTTGTATTTGTCATATCTTTTACAACTATTAAGTTGGTAATTCTTTAACTTTTAAAATTTTTATTTTAATGTAATACAAGGAGATAATAATAAAGAAAATATAAAAGCTGTTCTATGAAAATTTTTTCATAATAAAAATTATTAGAGAAAAGCAATAGTAAATACACTGTGTATTATGATCTTAAAAGAAAATTTTCATTTGCTAATCTCTCAGCACATTTCCTAATAATACTATTCCTTTTTCGCCGAAACATTTTAAATATTAGCAAAGTTTCTAACATTCTGTATAATTTGGAACAATTTATTCCTATTTCACAATATCTATTATTCTTTTTGGCCCTTATTTTGTTTTAGTTTCTTACAACAGAGAGACAATGCAATATTTACACCTGTGTGTTCAATGTATTTTACTTAAGAGTATGGTCTCAAGGTGAATCCATTTACCTAGAAATGTGACTGAATTATACTCATTTATATTAAAAAATATGCCTTTTTTATCCATTTATCAGTTGATGGACTTGGGTTGTTTCCACGATTTGGCTATTGCAAACTGTGCTGCTGTAATCGTGGTCGCACATATATTGCTGTGGTATGATGCTTTAAATTATTTGGGGTGGATACCCAGAAGGGGAATGGCTGGGTCAAATGGGACTTCTAGTCCTAGTTTATGAGGCATCTCCGCACTGATGTTCACAGTGGTTGCACCCATCTACACTCCACCAACAGTGGAGAATGATAACCCTTTAACTTTTTAAAGAAGTGAACATATTTTACGCATAGACGTATTCTAAAGTATTGAGAGAACTAAGTGAATGGGCTATGCCGTGGCTTTGAACAGGTTAACATTGTGTGGTCATTTCTATCACTGATTGTGCATTAACATATTCACTTTATTCTCACCAAGGAGTCTGTTTTATCGCTGTCTCCAAAGAAGTGCTCCACTGTCCTTGAACAAAGAAAAATTTTAAATGTCTTTTAGAAACTGTGATACTCATACCACGTCATTATAAAGAGACCTTAAAGCACTCTTGGAGCATGAATTCATTAACCTTCTCCAAGCACAGCTCGGAGATGTGTTTAAAGGCAGATCAAGGGAGGCACCAGAGGCCAGGTGAATCGCAGCCAAATTACCCTCGTACTTGTATGGCTTGTATCAAAACTGAACTGAGAGATCATTTGTTTTCTTTTAAAAAAATGAAATGCTTACAAAAGTAAAAATTATTGGCTAAAGATGCTTAAATCAGGATAAATCTCTGTATCTATGATAAACTTGAGACCTATGCAAAAAACATGTTTTGTTTGAAGCTCACCCCATAGGCAGAAATAGATATATATGTATTTGCTTGTGTGCATGAGTATGTGTGAGAGAATGTGTGTATTAACCCTTAATTCCTATGCACAGAAATAATTTTATTTTTTCTTATTTTTTTAATAAAGTAATTGTTTATTATGAATTTGTGCCTAGAAGAATATATAGAAGGGTAGAGGTGATACAGGGGACTCTGGATTTTAAAATAATTTTATTTTTTATTGGTACATGTTTGCAACATGTAATTATTATGTTTCCCATGGGGAGTTGGTACATGTACATAACAGATTTTAATTCTTTTTTATTCCCTCTCTTGACACCCCCATTACAGTCTCCTTTCCTTTTACAAAAGACCTATCTTTCTAATTCCTCTTAACTTTTATTAAGCTTTTTAGATATATTTTGGGTTTCTCAAATAAGAGAAACCACGCAGTACTTAAGCTATTTTATTCAATTTATCTCACTTAATATTATGGTCTTAAGATACAACCATTTTCCTACAAATTTGTCCTTCTTTGTGACAGAGTAATACTCCTTTTTGTATAATTAACACATTTTGTTTGACCATTTATCTACTGATGGACATATAGGCCACTTCCAAGATTTTAGCTCTTATGGGTTATACTGCTAGAGTATCTATCACTGTGATATAATATCTTTAACTGTTTCAGAAAGATACCTAGCGGGAAATAGCTGAAGTAAGTGAAATTCCTAGTTATAGTTTTTTGAGGGATCTCCATATTGATTTCCATAATGGTTGTACTAGTTTACAATTCCTCCAAAAATGTATAAGGATTCCTTTATTCTTTTGTTCTGTTTTGTTTTTTGGTATCTGGGATCAAACTCAGATCCTTGTGCTTGCAAGGCAAGTGGCAGAACCACTGAACTAAATCCCCAGCCCTAAGGATTCCTTTATTCTGCAGCCTTGCCAGCATCAGTTATTATTTTATTTCTTGATGTTAACCTTTTTTTTCTAGACTAAGGTGAAAACACAGTGTTGTTTTAATTTATTTTTCTCAAATGGCCAGAGATGTTGAGCATGTCCTCATTTATTTATTGGCCATTTGTTTTTCTTATGAGAAGCATCTGTTCATTGCAGTTGCCCATTTTTTTATTTAAGTCTTTTATTTGGGGAGGGTTTAATTTTGAGGTACTTCCTATAATCTAGACATTAGTCCTCTGTCTGAGGAATAGCTGGCAATTTTTTCCCATTATGAAGTTGCTTCTTCACTCTGTTGTTTTATTTGCTGTGCAGAAACTTTTAAATTTTATATTATCCCACTTGTTTTTGGGTGCTATTTTTTATACAATTGGGGTTCTGTTGAGAAAGTCCTTGCCTATGCCTATGGCTTCAAGAGTTTTACCTATTTTATCTTCCAGATGACTGTGTCTATTTTACTATTTAGAACTTTCATCCATTTTTATTTTAGTTTAGTGCATGGTGAAAGATGCAGGTCTAGAATCAGTCTTCTGCATGTGGCTAGCCAGTTTTCCCAGGAGCAATTGTTAAACAGGCTATTTTCCCTCAACATATTTTTTTTGGCTCCTTTGTCAAAGATCAGGTAGTTGATTGATGGAGTGGTTTCTGCATCCTCTACTCCATTCCTTTAATCCATATAACTGTTTTGTGTGTTTTACCAATAACATATGGTTTTTTTCACTGTAGCTTTGTAGTATAATTTAAAGTTGGGGGCTATGATATCTCCTGCTTTGCTCTTGTTGCTCGGGATTGTTTTTGCTATTTTGGGTCTCTTCCGGTTTCATATGAATTAGGGTGTTTTTTTCCTCTAGTTCTCTGAGGAATGCTATTGGTATTTTGATTAAATGCATCAAATCTCTTCATCAGTTTTGGAAGCATGACCATTTTGTCAGTATTTGTTCTGCCTATCCAGGAACAAGGATACCTTTCCATTTTCTGATGTCCTCTTCAATCTCCCTTTTCAGAGTACAGTAGTTTTCACCATAGAGGTCTTTCACTTCCCTGGCTAAGCATTAATTTCTCTTGATGCTATTGTGAAAGGTATTGTTTTCCTAATTTCTTTTTAAGTTCATTATTAGTGTACAGTAATAGTATTGATTTTTACATGTTGACTCTGTATCCTGCTATGCTAGTGAATTTGTTTATTAATTCTGGAGTCTTTTGGTGGAATTTTTTGGATCTTTTTTGTAAAAGATCATGACTTCTGCAAAAATTGTTAATTTGACTTCTTCCTTTCCTGTAAATATCCCTTTTTTTCCCTGGACAAATTGCTCTGGCTAATGTTTCACAAACTACATTGAACAGGAGTGGCAGTTCCTGATTTTAGAGGGAAAGCTTTCAGCTTTTTAATATGATACGGGGCATTGGTTTGTCATAGACGACTTTCATCAGATTGAATAAGGCCCTCCCACACCTATTTTCTTCAGGGTTTTTATCATGATGGATGTTGAATTTTGCCAAAGATTTTTTTTCTGTCAGCTGAGATGATCATGTGATTTTTGTCCTTGTTTCTCTTTATGTGATGTAATGTATTTATCAATTTGCATGTGTTGAAACAACCTTGCATTCCTGGGATGAATTCTATTGGTCATAATGCATGGTCTTTTTGATGATTTGTTGCATCCTGTTTGCCAGCGTTTTAAGGACCTTTGTTTCAGCATTCATTAAAAAGATCAGTCTGTAGTTCTTTTGGTTGGGTCTTTCTGGTTTTAGACTCAGGGAAATCCTAGATTCTAGGAATGACTTTGGGAGTATTTCCTCCCTTTCAGTTTCTCTAGAGTTTGAGGAGTATTTGCTCTCATAGAATTTTGAAGTGAATTTATTGGAGCCTGAATTTTTCTCATTTGGTGATATTTTAATACTTCCTCACTATTTATTTATTTGTTTGTTTGTTTACTGGTACTGGGGATCGAACTTGGGTCCCTATGCTTGCGAAGCAGGCAGTGGCACCACTGAGCTAAATTCCTGGTCCTATTGTTGCCTTTTTATATCTTCTTGGAGCAGACTTGGTAATTCACATGTATCTTGGGCTCTATTTCTTCTGAATTCACTATTTTATTAGAATATAGGTTCTTAAGCAGTTATTAATGATCTTCTGGATCTTTTGCTTTTTTATTTATTTTTTTCCTTTTTATTTCTAATTGTACTAATTTTAGTCTTTACTTTGGCTTTTTGGTAAGATTGGCTGGGGGGTATGTCATTTTGTTTATTCTTTCAAACCAACTCAATTCAATGATTACTCTCAAATTTATTCATTTCTTCTCTACTCTTTATTATTTCCTTCCTTGTATCAGCTTTAAATTTGAATCATTCTTATTTTTCTGGAATCTTGAGGTGCATGATTAGATTATTTATGTGGACTCATTCTGCTTTTCTGATGGGGACATTCACAGCTATAAACTTCCCTCTTAGGACTGCTTTCATTGTGTCCCATTGGTTTTGGTATGTTGTATTGGCGTTGTTGTTTGATTTTAGAAACTATGTAAGTTTTCTCCTGATTTCTTCTGTGACCCATTGGTTATGAAAGAGTACATTTCAAAATTTTTCATTTCTTTGCATAATTTCTGTGGGTTTTTGCCACTGATTTCTAGTTTAATTGCACTAAGTTCTGATAACAAGCATGGGATAATTTTTATTCTTTCACATCTTAAGCGTGCTTTATGAGATAGTGTATGGTCTGTTTTGGAGGAAGTCCC